CACTACGGGGAGCGCGGTCGGAGCGGTGGCCTTAGGCCGCTGTGCCGACGCGAGCGGGGGGGCGCATAATCGGCGCAGGGGGCAGTCTCGCCTCCAGGCCAGCCAGGCGTCCGTCCAGCATATTCCCAACTGCGATGAGGATTTCTCGCAGTTGGGAGTCAAATGCCCCTGAGTTGGTGGTAGGGGCAGGCTGGGACGCGGACGGGGCTTCCCGCTCGGGGAGGTTCGCCTGGAAGCGGGCGAACTGAGCACTCAGCTCGTTCACCCGCTCCGTCAGCCTCTCGTTGGCCACCTGCAGGCGAGAGACGTCGCCCGCTAGGCCCTCCACGACCTCCGACAAAGCGGAGGAGGAGTCCTTAAGGGCCCTCACAAACGAGCCCTTAAGGTTCACGGATTTGGTGGCCACCTTGTTGATGACGGCCACCGCCGCTTTCGCCCTCTCCTGCACGGACACGGGAGCCTGGGGGGCATTTCCCCCCACCGGCTCCCGAACCTTGAGCAGGAGATCCGCGATCTCCTCCTCCGCTACGGCCTCGCCGTCCACTCGTACGCTCCTGTAGGACTCCGCGTTTGAGAACGCGGAGCCTGACGGGGTCGAGACCGAGGCCGAGGCCGGTTTACGCGCCCTCCCTCGGCGGCTGCTTGCCACCTTTGGTGGCATCATTTCGCCGGACGTGTCGGTCCCCTCCTCCCTGGAGCGTCCGCGTTTCCTGCTGTCGCTTCGTTCCGCCTCCATGGCCTCCGCGCCATCTGACGAAACGGCGGATCCAGAACGTATACGATCCGATGCTCTTCGGCTCCCAGTGACCAGAGTCAGACTGACCTCTGGGAGCCCCATCGAGATAGGCGTTCCTGACACCATCTCACCCTCAGTGGACGACCCATCCGCTCCACTGTTCTGCTTTTCCTTCCTTCGCTGTGCTTCCTTTTCCGTTAGGCTTGCCTGTTTTCGTTGTGTTTGTCCGATCGTTTTCTTTTGGTTTTTGTTTACAGTTTCCATAGTAAATCCCACGAGTGGGGGAGAACTAAAGGTCCACCCGGGCAGAGATCCCCCATTACCCGGGCAAGCGTAAGTTTTTAACCCAACCGAGGGGTCCGCAGGTACCTCGGCTTGGAGTGCGCTCGCGACTGAACTTCCCATCAGCCATGCATCCCCTGGCCACGCACCAGAACACGGGATTCGGGGAATTTTTTAGAGAGGTTATCTTCCTCGCGGTCCGGGCGGTTAAGCCAAGACCCTCGCCCCCGATCAGAGCCGCGAGACTTAACCACAGCGCTCTTCTCGGGATTACGATATGCCGACGGTTGACAGGGAGACTACGTCCCCCTGCCTGCTCGGTGGTAGTGTGAGTACACGCCGAGCCCGTCCTCCTTTCTCCACCGCTGTCAGCGGAGAAACTGTGGCCCCTACAGGGCCCCGCCATCAGGTTTTTTACCGAGGTTTCCTCCTCCATGCTCCGAAGAGCGAAGAGCCAGCAGGGCAACCGGCAGACACGCCCACCCTGCTGGACCAGGCCTTGCCCGAGAGCCGATGAACGGCTGCCTCTTCTGCTAGAATATTGGCCGCTGGCGATAATCCTCTCCTCCAAGAGGACAAGGAGGAAACAGTACCATCGCCAGCGTTTCCAGGGTGCACCACGAGGAGGTTTTCTAGCACAGCACCCCAAACAAACCCTATACCAACCATCTGGCCCGTGTGGTATGGTAAACCAAAACCTCCTTTCTAAGGAGAGGCCTATGTCCAGCAGCGGACTATTAAAGGCTGCTGAAGATGATGATCTACTTTTAAGTGTACCTAATTATATATAAAAGGCCTTAAATATATTTTAATATTTTGAATGGTTTTATTTACATTTAAAGCAAGTTTTTATAAAGTTTTAATTAGCTTATATCAGAAATGAGAGTATTTTTATTATAGTTGAAACCAAAACTACTGAGCGCTTTTTAAGAAACCATTTAGATCGTAAATGTGTGTCTCAAATTCCCTTGAACATTTAAGAAGTGGGCGTACTCATGACTCAAAAGCAGGGAAATATTCCCGCTCTTTCCCTCGGCTCTTGCGTTACAGGTGTTCATGGGCGATAAATATTCGGTCTAAGGAATTTTTTTTTGTGTAAACTACGTTACTATTGAGAAGATCGTGCTCTTGTTACGATAAGAAATGTGTATTGCTAAAAAATAATTATCTACTAAATTTAAATTAGGTTACTACAGACGACATGATCGAAATAGCCGTGGAAGCTAAAGAAAATAATAGGTTTTATAGTAAAAATTATAATTGGGCAAGATTTCCTTGGTAATAAAACAATATTAAATAGATTCCGAACATCAAACCTAAATCCAAACTATTTCTATTGTGTACTTAATATTGAGAATAGATTTAATATTGTGTATGTCAAGAGTTGGAACCAATATGTTGCTCTTAAAAGAGTTTAAAGGAAACTGTGAGCGTATACCTATTTTGTGGAGCAGAACAATTCCGTTTGCAAACAATAATAAATTCCGTGAGAAACTAAACTTTGGTGCTAATTCTGTCGTTCGAAAACTCTCTAAACTAAACTAAAAATCACTAAAAATTTGTTTAGTCCTGTCAAACAACGTTTCGTATTCTAAAAACGTGGTACTTGACAGAACTAAACAAATTTTTAGTGATTTTTAGTTTAGTTTAGAGAGTTTTCGAACGACAGAATTAGCACCAGTGTACAACTAAACACTGTCTCAACATGAAGCATCTATAATAGATATGAGAGACACATTTTAAATTTTGTTTAAATAGTAAAGATTGTAGCGATACCAATTTAGTTATCTTGATACTCACTTAAAACCAAGTACGAGTATGTATGTTTGGTTGTTATTAATAAAGTTTGTTTATAAATAATTATACATTGAACGATTTCAGTATAAATGCATTTTTAGTGTTACCTCTTTTCCAAAACTAGGAGATTCTCAGTTCATCTGTTTTTTTTTTATTTGAGTTGGATATACTCAAGTTTAGTTTTACTTAATTGAAGTAAAATAATTCATCAGAGGTGGAAAATTAAAGAGAGAAGAATCTAAATTATCACAATTTAACTAAGTTATGTGCCTCACTGAAATCAGTAATACTTTTTTTTTAAGTTAACTATAGACTCTCTCTCAACAATGTTTAACAGTATAATTCCCATAGTATAGCTACTCCTCGATCAAAAGCAATCAAAACAAACTCTGAAGCGCAAGGTATCAGGACTCATTTAGAATTCGTTTGAAGAGGGTCAGAATTCTAATCGAACTGTGACAGTTAATCACTAGCCTAAGACACCTTCCCTTCATTTTAAGTTTTACGTTTCATTCCACAAGCCGGCAAAAAATGTTAACGCTACACATATTAATTTTAAAAGCTCATAATAAAAATAATGATGTAAATTAATATATATATAAACTGTTAAAATAACGTGTGCATGCAAACTATTGAAAATAGCACAAAATTTATATCTACTATATAAAAATAAGTCGGGTTTTCCTTCCTGACGCTATAACTCCAGAACGCACGAACCGATTTCCACGGTTTTGCATTCGTTGGAAAGGTCTCGGGCTCCGTGTGGTTTATAGCAAAGAAAATTCAGGAAAAATATCAACAGAAAAGCGGGAAAATCTTTTTTCACATACAGCGCTACAAACCAATATTTTAAGCAGATGGCTAAGCGTGATACATTGTTTGACAGCTACTCATTGTTCTCTGCTCAGTTAATTTCACGTGACAAACCGGTATTGTGTTCACTGTGAAATTGTGAAAAAAAAGTAAAAAAAAATAAGTTATTCGTTTCCTAACATTTCAATTGGAAACCATCAAATCAATCACGTGTATTGTGCAAATTTGATAATCTTTTTTCACATACAGCGCCATCTCTTATACATAGCATGTACTACAACCCAATATTTTAAGTAGATGGCGCCGGTGCGTGATACATTGTTTGACAGCTACTCATTGTTCTCTGCTCAGTTAATTTCAATTTTAAAAAGTAAAAAAAAATAAGTTATTCGTTTCCTAACATTTCAATAGGAAACCATCAAATCAATCACGTGTATTGTGCAAATTTTTATTCAATTTCAACAGCAGGCATTTGTCTTTAAGGTGGTAAGTTGAACTGTGTAAATTATGTGGAACGTGCATTTGAGGTTAAATTCACCACTCTGTCCATAGTCCAAAATGCCTAGAGGACGACGTGCGAACATCGGCCGACGCACAAGACATGCAAGCCAGCAACAAGTGTATTCACAGAACATAAGCAAGAAAGACAAAGTATAATAAGAGAAAATGCCCGATTGAGACAACGCGTGAGCACACGAAGATCATTGGCATCATACAATCGCTTGGCATTCCAATATGATCCCACTGCGAACTACAGTGATGATGAAAATTTAGATATTGGACCAATGACGACTATATGCCGATATTGCAATGCGTTTAAGTTCAAAAGAGAAACGGCTGGATTGTGCTGCGCAAGTGGAAAAGTCAAACTGGATCCATTACTTACACCACACAGCCACTGAAACCATTGTTCGATGGAAGTGATCCCGATTCCCGCTAATAATGCTGTGGTTAATATGTTCAAAACAGCATTGAAACGAATGCCATCGGATACGCACAAATTTGTCATAAGAGCGGATTGTACCCCAACAGGTGAACATATGCGAAGATTCAATGCACCCACCGTTAACCACCGATTTGATGTTGCTGCAATTATTGTTGGCGATACAACTAAATCGCGAGACATTGTCGTTCAGCGAAGAAGCAATATCATGCATCGTGTAAACGAGACACATCGTTTGTACGATGCGTTACAATATCCAATCATTTATTGGCAAGGGACGGATACGACATCACGTTGAAGATGGTCGATCCAATTACAGGTACAATATTCACACACTAATTATTGCTATTATTGCTATTATTGGTTTCCATTAACAATTCATTTAATTTTGCATTTTCAGGCGTATCAACGAACAAAAATCTAAGCGCAATGAATTACTATGCATATCGTATGATGATTCGTACACATGAGGAGAATGTCATTCTGAAGTGCCGTCGGCTATTCCAGCAATTCGCTGTCGACATGTATGTCAAAGTCGAGACCGAAAGTTTAGCGTTCATCCGATTCAATCAGGCAAAGCTACGATCTGAGGACTATATACACTTGCGTGATGCTATTCATTCAGATGATGATGTTCAGAATATTGGACGCCTGACGATTCTCCCATCATCTTATATCGGAAGACCACGCCACATGCACGAATACGCTCAAGACGCTATGACGTACGTGCGAAATTATGGAACTCCGGATTTATTTATTACGTTCACATGCAATCCGAAGTGGACAGAAATTGAACGTTAGTTAGACATAATCGCCAGAGTATTTCAGCAAAAACTCAAGGTTATGATGGATGTGCTTACTAAGTATCGAGTTTTTGGTGACACACGTTGTTATATGTACTCGGTGGAATGGCAGAAGCGTGGACTACCGCATGCTCATGTCCTAATTTGGTTGCTGAACAAATTACATTCAAATGAAGTGAATGACATCATATCAGCTAAAATTCCTGATCCAGTCACTGATCCCCATCTACACGACATTGTGACGACACAGATGGTGCATGGACCGTGCGGTGCATTAAGTCCATTATCGCCTTGCATGGCTGATGGAAAGTGCACAAAACGATATCCGCGACCGTTAGTTGCTGAAACAGTCACAGGGAACGATGGATATCCAGTTTATCGTCGGCGTTCAAAAGAAGATAATGGTCGAACTATCAAAGTTAAAGTTCAAAATCAAGAGATTGAGATCGGAAATGAATTCATTGTACCATATTGCCCGCTGCTATCACGAATTTTCGAAACAAGTGCAAACGTTGAGAGTTGTCATTTGGCCAAATCAATCAAATATTTGTGCAAGTACGTCACAAAAGGCAGCGACATGGCTGTGTTTGGTATTGCGTCGGAAAATGCGAATGACGAAATCAGCAACTTCCAAATGGGCAGATACGTCGGTACTAATGAAGCACTGTGGCGATTATTGTCATTTCAAATTCCCAAATATCCCACAGTTGTAACCACTAATATGAGAGTTCAACTTCAAAATGATCAAAGTGCTGCACAATTTTCCAAACAATTGTTAGCTGTTGGAAATGGAAAAGTCCCAGTTGATGCGACATCTGGATTAATTACTCTTACCAACGACTTTTGCCGATTTGTAGACTCTCAAGCTGTTAATGAAAATGTTTTCCCAAACATTAGTGAGAATTATCAGAATTATGCTTGGTTAAGTGAACGAGCAATTCTTGCCGCAAATAATAATGATGTACACGCACTGAATTTCACCATTCAATCAAAAATTGCTGGCGATTTAGTGACATACAAATCCGTTGATTCCATAACAAATCCCGATGATGTAGTAAATTATCCAACGGAGTTTTTGAACTCTCTGGAGTTACCAGGATTTCCACCACATAACTTGCAACTCAAAGTTGGTACAGTTATTATGATATTGCGTAATTTGAATCCACCGCGACTTTGCAACGGTTCGGTAAAAAGACTTATGCCGAATTTGATTGAGGCAACCATTATTAACGGAAAGTACGCAGGTGAAAATGTATGTATTCCTCGAATACCAATGATTCCGACTGATCTTCCGTTTGACTTCAAAAGATTGCAATTTCCAGTTCGCCTTGCGCTCGCAATTACAATTAACAAGTCGCAAGGCCAATCGCTTAGTGTTTGCGGGATAAATTTAGAAAATCATTGTTTTTCACATACGTTCAGTTATACGTTGCGTGTTCACGAGTTGGGAAACCATCCGCTTTGTTTGTGTTAACGTCAGACCAAAAAACAAAAAATGTGGTTTACCAAAGAGCACTTCAATGAAACGGATAATTTGCGGACACGTATAACGCTTCGATTCAGTATTTACTTTGGATTCACTTTCATTTACTTAGAGAAGTTCAACTAAATAACACTTCATTTTTGTAATCGAAATGAATTCATTACTGTTGTGAAATGAAACAAAATTTTTCCTTTTTAAATATAAAACAAAAAAAATATTTTTCTTCTTCTTGTAATCACCAAACGAAATGTTACATAAAACGAAGCCATCTGGTGGCGAAACGGAGTTCGCCGGGTTTGCTAGTTTTGTGTATAAATATAAATAAATAAAAATAAAATACTTATGTATTTACGTAAATTTACATAAAATAAAATGTTACCAAACGTATTATAACTTAACCGTAGGTAAAACGAAACGTTTAATGGCGACAATTCTATATAATCTGTGGCAGGAATTGACATAAATGTTACAAAAATAATTTATTTCAATATTGTTTTTCTTAATAACTTTGAAACTTTGCTTGTGTGCTTATAATAATGTAACCTTTCTGTAAAAAAAAATATCAACCGACTACTCGACGGACGTTAATTGAAAGCTGAGACGAATTAAATGTGTAAAGTACACAATTTCGTAATCAAAGTTCAGCAGTTCAGATGTATGTTACGTTATTAAAAGGCTAACGCGGAAAATTTCTGTATTGTTTTCAAAGTCAAGGATTATATATTAGGATTATATATATTAAAGGAAGGATCATATAATTGTTGTTGAAACACCTGTGTAAATAAAGTGCCTTAAAGAAAAACAGATGTTTATATTAACTCATTAAACGTTGAGCAAGAGAAGCAACGTTCAACTAAGACTTTCTTGCAATAAATAAAATTATAACTTTGCCATTTTTTTATACAATTGGGGCTAACGAGCAGACGTGTTGCCTGATGGTTAATTGATACCGCTACCCATGCCAGCAACTTCACATCATCATCACATGAACAGCCTTTAATAGTCCACTGCTGGACATAGGCCTCTTCCTAGAAAGGAGATTTTGGCCTACTATACCACACTGGCCAGACGGGTTGGTATAGGGTTTGGGTCAAGTTTGCCTTCTCTCTGCAGTGCTGTTGTCCTGCGTAGTTTGCTGCCTTATTCGCCTCTTACGACACCCTCGGAATGAATTGGGGTGGTGAGACTCTGTATTCTTAATCCGTCACCACACGGACAGCAACTTAAAAGTCACAAATGCGCTGACGTCCTATTAGTTCCTCCCGCTATAATCAGGGGGATTTAGGGCTTGATTCTTCACTCAGGGTGAAAGGCAACCAAAGAACTACTTAACAGCATTTTTTTGTGAGTTCATGGTATCACTACGGTCCATTTTTGCCGAAGGATGGCTCACCCACCGTATTTTTTTTAAATATGATAGAAATATAAGAACATTTATTTGAAAAGAATTTAAATTTAATTTTATTTCGCCTTATTTATAAACATTGCAAACTCGGCAAGTTTGCTAATTAGTTGAATAACTCACCCACAACCAACAGTCAAGTAAATGAATTACAAAGGAAGACATTTGTATTTAAAATTATGTTAACCTAAATCTAAATTAGATTAGGAAAATAATTTACGTGTATACGGACTTAAGTGTTTGTTAGATAAATATATAGAACCTTCTCTCTTGTAAGAGTTAGATAGTTGACGGACCTGTTGGTCGATCGATTGAACGATCCTGATTGCTGTACCTAAGGTAGTGGTTTCGATTCTCACCAGGACATATATTGTGTGACGAGCCCGATAATTTGTTCCGTCCGAGTGTAACTGATCTATAATATACTAGCAAACCCGGCGAACTCCGTTTCGCCACCAGATGGCTTCGTTTTATGTAACATTTCGTTTGGTGATTACAAGAAGAAGAAAAATATTTTTTTTGTTTTATATTTAAAAAGGAAAAATTTTGTTTCATTTCACAACAGTAATGAATTCATTTCGATTACAAAAATGAAGTGTTATTTAGTTGAACTTCTCTAAGTAAATGAAAGTGAATCCAAAGTAAATACTGAATCGAAGCGTTATACGTGTCCGCAAATTATCCGTTTCATTGAAGTGCTCTTTGGTAAACCACATTTTTTGTTTTTTGGTCTGACGTTAACACAAACAAAGCGGATGGTTTCCCAACTCGTGAACACGCAACGTATAACTGCCCATGTGAAAAACAATGATTTTCTAAATTTATCCCGCAAACACTAAGCGATTGGCCTTGCGACTTGTTAATTGTAATTGCGAGCGCAAGGCGAACTGGAAATTGCAATCTTTTGAAGTCAAACGGAAGATCAGTCGGAATCATTGGTATTCGAGGAATACATACATTTTCACCTGCGTACTTTCCGTTAATAATGGTTGCCTCAATCAAATTCGGCATAAGTCTTTTTACCGAAAGTCGAGTACCGTTGCAAAGTCGCGGTGGATTCAAATTACGCAATATCATAATAACTGTACCAACTTTGAGTTGCAAGTTATGTGGTGGAAATCCTGGTAACTCCAGAGAGTTCAAAAACTCCGTTGGATAATTTACTACATCATCGGGATTTGTTATGGAATCAACGGATTTGTATGTCACTAAATCGCCAGCAATTTTTGATTGAATGGTGAAATTCAGTGCGTGTACATCATTATTATTTGCGGCAAGAATTGCTCGTTCACTTAACCAAGCATAATTCTGATAATTCTCACTAATGTTTGGGAAAACATTTTCATTAACAGCTTGAGAGTCTACAAATCGGCAAAAGTCGTTGGTAAGAGTAATTAATCCAGATGTCGCATCAACTGGGACTTTTCCATTTCCAACAGCTAACAATTGTTTGGAAAATTGTGCAGCACTTTGATCATTTTGAAGTTGAACTCTCATATTAGTGGTTACAACTGTGGGATATTTGGGAATTTGAAATGACAATAATCGCCACAGTGCTTCATTAGTACCGACGTATCTGCCCATTTGGAAGTTGCTGATTTCGTCATTCGCATTTTCCGACGCAATACCAAACACAGCCATGTCGCTGCCTTTTGTGACGTACTTGCACAAATATTTGATTGATTTGGCCAAATGACAACTCTCAACGTTTGCACTTGTTTCGAAAATTCGTGATAGCAGCGGGCAATATGGTACAATGAATTCATTTCCGATCTCAATCTCTTGATTTTGAACTTTAACTTTGATAGTTCGACCATTATCTTCTTTTGAACGCCGACGATAAACTGGATATCCATCGTTCCCTGTGACTGTTTCAGCAACTAACGGTCGCGGATATCGTTTTGTGCACTTTCCATCAGCCATGCAAGGCGATAATGGACTTAATGCACCGCACGGTCCATGCACCATCTGTGTCGTCACAATGTCGTGTAGATGGGGATCAGTGACTGGATCAGGAATTTTAGCTGATATGATGTCATTCACTTCATTTGAATGTAATTTGTTCAGCAACCAAATTAGGATATGAGCATGCGGTAGTCCACGCTTCTGCCAT